AGTGTTGTAAGTAAGCATTGTTTTCCCTTGTGTTATTGCAAATAAATAAATATATATAGTTTGAAAGTTGTGTTTATTAATGAAAGATATAGATTTGCAAAATCAGAGAATTTTAGAGGTTTGTAAGGAAGACATGCAAACACCTATAGATCTCTACTCCTTATAGTTCACCCCACCCCCAAATCCCCTCTCTCTCTCCCTCCCCCTCTTTCTCCCTCCATCCTTTCTAATATGTCATAGCCAAATGCTAGTTGTTAACATTGATTGGGGGGTAGAAGGGGGGTGTCTACTGACAAAAAGATGTCTTTTCTTTAAAGGAGGTCTCTCCAAAAAGCTTACTTTTTTGTGTTCACCTATAGCAAGTAACCATCTAGCGTTTCCATTCACAAAGTTTCAGCCTCTAACGTGTCTACTGTTTTGAAGAAATTCATCTCGAAAGAAGCCCAAAATTTGACTTTGGAGGTTGCCATTTTCAAACTATACTTGGTAGCCAGGCTGTGTTTATGTGATGCTATTCTGTCTGACTCGAAATTGACGCGAAGGAGAAAAACTTGCAACTGACTTTGAATTCTTCACAAGGTAAGCAAAATGTATTTTTTCCAAGTGATTATTCACTTCACTTAAACTTCATTGCTATCACTTGTTTAGGGAGTTTAGAACTTGCTTGGCTCAAAATAATACTGCTCAAGAACAGCCACAACCCAGAGTGGTAGTTAAAAGTCTTGTTGGAAGCCATTTGGACAAAATCTCTTGGAGGGAATGACGTCATGAAAACGCAGCCTGGATGCTGAGTACTATTTAAAATGGCCGCAACAATGTCCATTTTTTTGAGCTTCTTTGGAGACAAATTTTGTACCGAAAACCTGCACTTTAGAGGCTGAACCTTTGATGAGTAGCTACATGTAAAGTTTTGGTCAGAAACATTACATTAGTAATTTCTTAACACTTTTGTCTGCATTATAATGTTAGCCTTTGATATAGCAGGTTGCATTACATATATATTGTTTATATACTGAGCTTACACTAAGTATTACAAAAGTGTGTACCATACTGGCATGTACAAAGGTTCATAGGCTTTTGTCAGTTTCTCCTACTCTGATTATCCTGTTACATTGCACAGGTGTAGGTACCTAGAAAGAGCTATAATAGAGCAGAAAGTAGGGTTCGATAAAGTGCTGTCCGGTTGTCCCAGAGAAGTAGGATTTCTGCCGGGCAAGTAACTTTACAGCAAGATTCCTGGCACTTGCTGGGATCCCACCAATGTGGCCTGTTTTCCCAGCGGGATCCCTCCTGGGAAAAATTCCCAGTCTGTGCATCTCAGCAAGACTCCCACCAAGGAAAAAAATCTGCTCCAGGATCCTGGTGAGAATCCTGCCGGGAAGCAAAATTCTTGAGAAAAAATTCTTGCATAGAAATTCCCGCCAAGAAGTTGCACATTCTTGTGGCCGAAATGCAAATCCTGGAGAGGGTGCGATAAACCTGATCTTGAGAAACTACTTTAAGGTTGACCCTGGAAACAAAGTGCCACTCTGAAAACTATCGGGAGCCATAACAGTTAAAGTTGCAATATTTACTATGACTCGATCTTAAAGTTTGGTATGTCAAAAACCAGCCGTGAAGACAAAACCCCGCGCGTGTTTATCTATAAACATGCTGATCGTGTCTAGACGAACTAGAGCTTTTAGTGGTGACAACTAGCCGAGTGCTCTAACATGCTTTATAGTTTGTAGAGGAAAGATAAGATTTTTGTTGACTTTCGCCTGTGTAACCTCTTTGCTTTGAAATTTCTGCATGATTTTAATTAGAAGTCCATAGATAAGATTACTTCTCAGGATTCCAGTGACTGTCACTCAGCAATGATCTTCTGATGGCAAACTCCGAAAATTGCCAGTAATATAAACGCTCATTTGGCGTTGAAAATTTTCTTTGTGACAGCATTCGGCGAATCTCTTTTGTTAAGATCTTCCCATAGGCCACACAATTTTTAACAAACTCCAAACCCTGAACTTTGGATGAAGATAAACATTTTTAATGAAAGCCATTCACTCTGGGGTGAAGTTGTACTTGTTACTGATTATAATAGGCAATGATTATTATGGCACTAAGTTTTGACTTGACGAGGCTTCAAATATCATTCATGAAAGGTACAAATGCAAATTTGCTTCTTCATGGTTTCAACAGATTAAGTTTGGTAGCTCATGCTATCTTCTTCGCTTGAGTAAAAGGCTAGTTTCCCTTTTGTTGTTATTTCAATGTGATTGTCATTGTGATTTTCACAAGAACATTCTACATTACTTTTCTTTTTTAAGCGTAAAGTGTCTCATGCCAACTTTTGTACAAGCTTAGGCATTTTATCCTTTTGTGAACCAAACACCTGTGACTAAACTTTCTGTTAGCTAATTGATAAATCATGTTGTTTTGAGTAGAGTCATTTACCAGTCTAATTACATTAGTATTGTCTGTATTTTAACTACTCTAAATAATGTAAACACTGGGAAGCTTTAACCTTTATTTAAAGGACAGTGGCTCCAAAAGAAATTCGTGGCAGCATGTCCAAAATTTTGCCAAGATTCCCACAGTGAATCTCCAAGAATTTCTCTTCCCACCGCGCCTCTTGGCGAGACTCCCTGCAAGATCCCACCAAGATTTTGGCCACCAAGAATTTGCTTCTCAGCGAAAATCTTGGCGAGATTCGAGGTAGGATCCTGGCGACGTTTTGGCCCCCGAGATTTTTCCTTCCTGGCGAGAATCTTGCCAAGATTTGCAGCAGGATCCTGGCGAGATTTGGGCCACTGGGAATTTTGCTTCTGCCCCAGTGAGAATCTTGCCAGGATCCTGCCAGGATTCGCGCTGAGAATAAAAAATCCCAGCAGCGAAAATTTCACCAGGATCCCGTGAGGATTCCCCCCATGATCTGTGCAGGATCCCGCCAAGATTCGGCTCCTTATTTTACAAGGGCAGGCAAGTTGCCTGCCAACAAAATAGAAATAAAGTAAAGTAAGACTTGCCCAGGGCAAGAAAAATTTGAGACCTACTTGTCCAAAGGGCAAGCAACAATTAAATTTTTTTGAGCTCTAAAAAAGGTGTCATAAACTTACCATTTAAGCTTTCCACTAAATCTTGGATCATCCTTTTGAATCTCTCACATTCACTGCTCCAAGGGTAAGCTTTATTGTAGTTGTCTCTGAGCAGCTTGGCACTGTTTTCTCTCTCTTCTGGACTTTGGCTGGACAGTTGTTGGATCCTTCGAGCCCACACTTCAGGATCATCTGATTCAACAATGAAAGATTGCCCACCATCTACTTCATGTAAAGCTTCAGCTATTCCAGATTCACCTGCAACAATAACAGGTATACCAGCAGAAATAGCTTCCAGCGCAACCAACCCAAACCCTTCGGTGCGTGAAGGCAGAGCAATCATATCTGACTCA